AATAGGATGCCTAGGCCTGTTTTTATTTTTTATTTTTTTTCGCCCGCCCGCTCCATTATTTTTCTAGAAAAATCCGTTAACCAAGAAATTAAATTGGTGTGGCCTTAGCAAAAAAAAAAAAAATTTTTCATTCTAAATCAACTGCAAAATGCTCAATGAAAGACATATTTTGGCCCCAATGGTTGAAGAAAGTCCTTTTTGTCCTAGTTGTAAAAGTTTTTTTAATTTAACAATTTGCAATTTTGTTTCATTAATTTTGTCCCATTTCAGTGAGAGTTTCATTAATACTTCAAAATCTATTGTTTTAATTATAAACCAGCCTGGTATGTTCACTTCATGGCTCTTATTGTAACATTTCCGGCTATCATGGGGTGCCTTGGCCTGTTTTTTTTTCTTCGCCCTGTTGCTTCATATTTTTTCTGAAAAAAATCTGAGAAACAACAAATTAAATTGGTGTGGCCTAACGTTGCCTTGTTCTCTGGTCACCTAGAACCACCACAGGAAGGTGACCAGATGACCAATGAAGCGGAGGCCAAACCCCAGCTGGCGGCCGGACCGATCGACATGGAGGAGCAGCCCACGTCCAGTTCGTCCCGAGACCTCAGTACGCCCTCCCCCGCACCGTCCAGTGAGGGGACGGGCATCTTCTTATCTCAACTCACAGGTGGGCCAAAAACACTGTATATCTGGAAGTTTTCGGTTAGTGTTGCATACCGGTTCACTGGACTTGGATCCGGACTTGTAAGAATGTTTAGGTTCAAGTCCAAAAAAACCTAAAAGTCAAGAACCGAGTCCCTTGTGGCAACGAATGGCAGCCGCACAGACCTTCCACAAAAAAAATTGTGAAGCAAATATGTATGCTATCATGTGTATCACTTGTTTGTTGTGATTTGTATTGATTATTATGAGATACCCTGCATCAATTCAGCCAGGCTGCGACTGCACGGGTACTGTTTGGACAATAAAAAACAAAAACCATTTCACCGTGGTTTTATTTTCGATGACCTCTTAACTGTAAATTCATGATACCGCAAATATGCATTTCTATATGTATCACTACTGTACTACAGGATTGTGTGAGCTACAAATTTAGAGCCTTCCTAAGAATTTTTTTTCATCCTAACACAAAAAAATGAGACCAATGCAAAAGTAAATGAACCTACAGTACAGTCGTTAATACATGTTCTTGGCTTGGCATCCCAGTGAGGGGTTAATACATGTACTACTCTACTATAGAATTATTTTAACCAGGAAGTTCCAATACAGTTTTTACTTCCTTATGCAGAGGTTTTATTTTGGTGTGTCTGTTTTTGTGTTTGCTTGTTGTGTTTCCTTAGTTATTTACATACACTAGACATGTTGGGAACACTAACAGGAAGTTAGTTCAAAGGTCCCAGAAAAGGTTATCTCCTTTCCTGTCCTCAATTTCCTGCTATGTTCATCTCTGTGGCCTTTTGGAAGCCAAAAAATGGGAAAAGGTGTAGCCAGCCTACGTAGCCTGATTTCTCTGGTCTCGAGAATCAGTGAGAAATTAAGAAATTCGCAATAAGACCACAACAAGTAAATTTTATGGATGACATCCTCCACAGACTCCAAATCTAATGCGAGCGGGCGAAAAAAAAACAAGGCGGGCCGAAAAAAACAAGGTCCCTTCATTTTAAAAATTTGACTCAATCATTGCTCAATGGTTTTGATTCAGTAGGAACATCACATATACACAGCCAACATCATATATCACTGTATCAAAGTAAGAAACAAAACATTAAATCAGAGCCTTGTCTTGTCTCCTCTCTTTATAGTTATCTGCCATCCACGTTCCGGCATGGCAACAGACATCTTGGCCTATTTTCAGCATGGTGACCACTGTCAGAAGGCAACAAAATTTCTTGTTTTTTGTCCAAAATCAGGCGAAAATCAATGCGCGCGGGGATGTCATCCATAAAAATTACTTGCTGTGGCCTAATGAAAAAGAAACAAGACATACACAAAATCTCTAAATAGTTCATGGAGGTATGAGATCTTTGACTTCTTGTTTACCTTGATCATCTTATGTTGACTCCAGGCAGTGGAGATGATGAAGAACTAGAACAGCACCTGAAAGAGAAGGTCCAGTTTTCCCTGGATGCCGTGGCCAAAGTGGTGAAAGCCTTTGACAGGGTCCAGGGAGAGAAGAACAAACTGGCACAGGCCATACAGGGTGGAGGTAAGTACATTTGTAGTCACAGTTTTTGTTTGTTTCACATAACCAGTAAACCGCCTTTACATGTACAAGCTGCATAAGACCAGACTGTAAGGTTTGAACCACTCACACCGGGAAGGTCCCCTACTCTTTTCGATAAGTGTGGTGGTTTCTTTAACGTGTATAGGGTGTGGCTCTCCCCAAACACGGGACCTCCATTTAACATCCTATCCAAGGGACGTCCCTAACTGAAGCTAGGTACTCATTTACACCTGAGTGAAGTGAGGAAAGTTGTGTTAAGTGCCTTTCCCAAGGGCACAAGATTGGTGACTTGGGTAGGATTCGAACCCAGGTCTTCTTGGTCCTGAGCCAAACACGCTATTGCTATGCCACACGACCCCACATGATTTATTATACAATAAGTAATTACGTTTAATTACTTTTGCAGTCATTGGACGAAAGTTGATTGTGTTATTTCCTGAACAGAAGGTGCCCCCAGTCTGGAGGAGGAGGTGAAGGAGGAGAACAAGCGCCTCACGGCAGACAACCAGGAAGTGCAGTCTCTGGTGGCAACTCTACAGGCCAAGCACCACGCTACAACTCTCAAGGTACAGACAGACATGTCCTGTCATATTTGTCATACGATTTTTAAGTTTTTAGGTTGGGTGCACCAGTGCACTTATATCTAGTACCAAAAATGAATTTGGAGCCCTGTTAAGATACATGTAAATACAAATGTAGATAGAGATACAGGGGTACACACACAGTCACAGACAAATAATGAGAGAGAAAGAGAGAGAGAGAGAGAGAGAGAGAGGTTTATTTGTACCATACATGCACATACAAAAGCTTATAACTTGTGTAAGCAGCCATATTTGGCTGAATTGAGAATGCTTTAAAACACAAGATGGACTTATACCATAGTACAGCTATTAGATAAAAGTTTGTTACATTTGATAAAAACCTATTCGTTGCATATCAAGTTTACATTAAAAATTACTACACTACTACTAAAAAATAGTTGATGCAATGTTTCCTCTAAGTTAAAATTACAGAAATTTTCTAAAGTTGTAATATGCAAGGGTTGTATTCGTAAAGGCTGATATGAAGTGGATCATTTTTCAGCGTTCGTTCAATAACTTAACACAATACGGGATAGCATGAAAGTTCATCTGTGTTGGTACAAATCATTATGAAATAAAGACTGAACTGTAACTTCCAACACTAGGTATAGAATTGGGACTTACCCCAAATTTTCGGTTGACTCCATCAACCTTGTTCACGGAATGGACCTGTCTACTCTTGGAACGTGACGTCAGAGACACATGACCGTAGTAGCGGGTCATACGTGCCAGATAACT